CGAGTACAAAACCGCACCCGAAGCAGACATTCTGTACAGGGGGGTGGGGGGGCCGGGGAGCAAGCGGGAGGGGCGGCCCTGGGGTCGCTCTGTACAAGTCCAGGTTGGCGATGGCCCCGGCAGTCCCCGCGGGGCCCCTGGGGGCGTAGGAGGTGGCTGGGCGCCTCTAGATGAAATACTCCTTCTTGTCATCCCCGCCCGACTGCCCGCCTTCTGCGTGGATGATGGCTGTGTCTGCATCTGGGGCGTCATCCGAGCCTTTGGCCTCGTGTGTCAGGTAGGTTCCTGGGGAGAGGCAGTTTCCACACCTCTGAAGCCCCCTGCCCCGGCCTCGCCCACCCACCGCACCTGCTCCTAGAGCCTTCTTCCCCGCCCGACCCAGTTTGCATCTTGCTGTCAACATCCATCACCTGACCACGCCCCCACGAATTAATGAATGCTAACCTTAATTAGAATCTCATTTATAATACAGGCAAAAAAGCGTGCGTGTTAGTGCATGTTCGTGTACGCATGTACACATGCGTGTGTGTGCATGAGAGTATGTGTGTGTATAGGTGCGTGTGTGTGTGCCTGTATGCATGTGTGTGCACGCGAGTATATGTGTGCACGTGTGTATGTGTGTATGCATGTGCATGCATGTCTGCACATGTGTGCTCAAGCGTGCATGCACCTGTGTATATGAGTACGCATGTATGTACACGTGCGTGCCTGTGTGTGTGCATGTGTGTGCACCTGCGTGTGGAATGTGTACCTGTGTGTATGTGTGCATGTGTGTGTATGCACATGTGTGCATAAGCATGTATGTGTGTACATCCTGTGTGCATGTATGTGTGCACCTGCATGTGGAACGTGTACCTGTATGTGTGTGTCTGCATGTGTGCATAATCATGTATGTGTGCACATCCTGTGTGCATGTGTATGTGTGTACCTGTGTGTATATGTGTGTGTGTGCACCTGAATGTGGAACGTGTATCTGTATGTGTATGTGTGCATGTGTGTGTGTCTGCACATGTGTGCATAATCATGTATGTGTGCACATCCTGTGTGCATGTGTGTGTGTGTACCTGTGTGTGTGTGTGTGTGCACCTGCTTGTGGAACGTGTACCTGTATGTGTATGTGTGCCTGTGTGTGTCTGCACATGTGTGCATAAGCATGTATGTGTACACATCCTGTGTGCATGTGTGTGTGGGTACCTGTGTGTGTGTGTGTGTGTGTGTGCACCTGCATGTGGAACGTGTACCTGTATGTGTATGTGTGCATGTGTATGTGTGTACCTGTGAGGACACGTGTGCACACACACACCCTAGATGGGGACAGGGAAACTGCAGCTCAGCCCTTCAGCAGGCAGCCGAGATCCGGGTCCGCCCAAGCACTGGGCTGCTGGCTAAAGCAGTTGCAGAGGGGAGCGCCTGAGAGGAGGGTCTGTGGGCACGGATAAGGGGAGGCGGGAAGAGATGGTGTGGGGACAAGGGGCCCCAGAATCAGAGGACAGGTAGACGAGAAGGCAAGAAAGTGCAGCACAGGATGGGACAGAGAGGCAGTTCGGGCTGGTCTCTGCCTTCAAGCAGGAGACCCTGGAGGCAGAGCGGCGTGGGAGCAGCAGCTGGCTGAGTGGGAAGATCACCGAGGGATCGGGCTCTACTGCGGGGTTGGTGGCGCTCAGTCATCGCAGGGCTGGCTGCCTCCTTTCTTCCTCTCACACTCCAAGGGGCCACTGAGTCTCCAAAGGCCTGCCCCCAGCCCCCTGCTGCCTCCCCACCTGCCCCCCAGCCCCCTGCTGCCTCTGACCTTTGTGCCGGATCAAGTAGTGGCCCAGGAAGATAAGCAGGATGAGAAGCAGGAAGACGATGAAAGCCACGATCCCACCAATGATGGCGTGGTAGGTGCTGGACGACGAGGGCACTGGGCTGGGGTCTGCAGGGAGGGGACGCACACAGTCAGACCTGGGAAGAGCCCTTGTCTTAGAGCATCTCCGGCCATGGGTATCGTACACAGCACAGGACACGGGCCGACATCAGGAGAATGGAGCGCGTCACACGGCAGAGGGGATAAGCCTTATTTTGTACCCTTGTCTGGAACGCAGTAATTATAAAACAAATTACGTCTTCACGAATAAGCTGATAAATCTGCTCACACTCAACCCTTTAAATTGTGTCCGTGGCACTGAAGCTTTGGTCCAAGTAGCTTTAACATTTCCATCATTTCTTGTTCTCTCTCTTGCTTCGACTTTCAGCAGGTATCAGAGTATTCCTTCCCTGTCATCATGCCCTCTTCCCCTCCTGCCTGCTTGATGTCCAGACCTGGCTTCTGTCGGGGGGCTTCCCAGTCTGTTCACCTATTGCCCTGAGACCAGATCGAGGAGGTCTGTCTGGTGGACAAAGCCAAGAATTGGGAACTCTGGCAGCACCTTACAGAAGGCGATGCTGTGTAATGACCAGTGCTCCCTCTTTGCGGAGAAGTTTGGGGTTCCAGCTACATCCCAGTCCTCCAGCATGTCTCATCTGGGAGGTCTGGGACTCCAGCCTCACATCCCAGCATCCAGAGGTTTATGGGAAAGGCAAAGAGACCTTCCTTCATGGATGGCCCCCAGTGCTTTCCTCCCACGGTGGCCCATGTCTCCGCCATCAGATTAGAGAAACCGCCCTCCACTGCAGCATTTACAGAGGACAGATCCTCAGAGCACAGCCTGGGCCACAGGCATGCCAAGGACAGCACCAGCTTAGTCCAAGTCCCAAATATCTGAGGAGACGGTGCCCAGGCCCAGGGCATAGGCTGGATGTGTCCAAAATTGCATTAGCCGTAGATATAAGTCCTCCACCCATGGGAAAGCCACTGTTTTCCCACAGACTCTGCTTGAGTCTTGAGGCCTCACTGACTCCTTATGTATTTTGTCTTTCCTACCATGTCTCCTCAGGCTGGACTGGGCAGCTTTTTGGTTCCTTGCCTGTCTACGCCTAATTTGAAAAGAAAACATTTACGCTCTGGTTTTTTGGTGTTTTTTTTCTGCTCTGCTTGGGAGGGAGGGAGAGGATGGGCCTTGGGGCTCCATGACATGATGGGGTGGGTGTGAGGGTGTTAAGGCGGAAGAAAAGGAGGGAGGTTACCCCTGTCTTTCTCCCAAGCAGTAGGTGATACGGTCCACATTAAAAATAATAATAATAATAATCCTGGATCATTGTTCCAGGGGCTATGGAAGTGGAGATCTCTTAGATAAACACAGCTTCCCACGGCCATCAGTTACAGATCCCCGTCTCTAGGTAGAACTCCATTTCTTCCTTCCAGGCTGGTGGCATCAGGACTGCTTAGGATCCTCCTGGAGGAAAATGCAGGACCCCCTCCTACCACCAGGTGTCAGCACCGAAGCAGGCATGTCGGAGGGACCACTGGTGGGGGTGGGACCAGCAGGAGACCAACCACAGGGGCGCCAGAACTTTCTCTCACTGCCAGTGCCATCAGAGTTGGCTGCGGGAGCTCTGGGGGCCAACACTGGACCTCAGCCTTGCTGCTGTCATCCTACAAGAGCTCTGTCGTGCGGAGGCAGCTCCCACATGCTGAGGTCTGCCCGTGGAGCCAGAATCACCCCATCTACACAAACATCCTCGTCCCAAGGTCTCAGGTCTCTTATCTATGGGAGCGTCAACTGCCATCACCTCGCTGATTTAACGGGCATTTCCAATAAGGGAGTCCCTGCTGTTCCCCCGACAGCGGATCTCCCCTATTCTCAGGAAAGGCTTGTGAGGTTTTCTGGCGGGACCCCACTGCCATTGGGATCTTCCAGACTTCTGCCAACTCTCCAGTAAAGGGACCTCTGTGCTAGCCTGTCACTCCTCCTGAAGCTGGGTTTTGTGGTCACACCTTCGGGGAGAACTTCAGAGAAGAAGCGTCACTAGCGTCTCTGGAAGACAGGGCGTCAGAGGAAATGCCCTGTGCCTCAGCCGAGTACAAGCGGATCTCTGTGTTCTGCCTCGACCCACTCTGCTGTGGCCAAGGTCTGCCGGAAGGAGTGCAGCGGCACGCCTCCCATACTGGTCACGGGAGAGGCAGCCCACTGGACAGGGAAACCCCCACAGCTGCCCTGGAGAGACTCTGGGGCCTCTGCCAGAGTGGGTGTAGGGGTGCGGGGAGGGGGAGCGCAGGGGTGCAATGACGACATCATGTGGGCCACCAGTGCTAACCAGAGACAGACCAGAGCCCGCTATCGTGTTGACTGTCCTGTATTACACATTCCAGAGTGGACCCAGAGACCGAGGCCCAGGCCCTCCCATGGCGGGCTCCTGTCCACTCACTTGGCCCCGTGCATGGTGAGGGGTGCTCTCAGGAGATGGAGAGGCAGAGTGCGGGGTGGACGGAGCAGGGCTCACCGTTCACGTTGAGTGTGTAGTAGGCCTTGTAGCTGCCCATGTTGCTGGTGGCCGTGCAGCCGTAGGTACCGCTGTCGCTCTTGTTGAGGAAGGGGAAGATCAGGGCACTCTCCTGGGTCATCTTTAGCGGGGGCACACTGCCTTCCTTCTCCCACAGGTACTGCTGGGGGCTGTGGAGGCAGAGAAATCACACATGTTAGGGGGAGAGCAGGCCAGGGGGACAGAAGGGGAACAAAAACAATAACTGGGCAAAGGAAGTCAAGAACAGTTTGACGAAGGCTCAAGGAGTTACAGGAGCCACAGACACGAGCTGCTCGGAGGGAGGGTTCGATTGGAGGATGAAGGAGATTTTCTAACTTGTGTCTGACTGTGGCTTGGTGCCCCTGGGGACCTCAGGGACAGCCAGGGGGTGACCTTTTCTGCTGCTTTGTAAGAGAAACAGTCAGAGGATGGATGGTGCTGGACAGGGGAGCAACGGGAGGAGGGAGATGGGGACACTCTAAGGGCAGATCACAGTCTGAGGTACAGAGGTGTGGCAGGGGCAGGAAGAAAGTGGATCTTCTTACACGGGATTTCCGCGACCCTCACAGTGAAGCAACAGCTTCTGGCCCTCACGGGGATGCGGAGGGTCTGGCCTAATCTTCGCCGTTGGTGTGTCTGTGGAGAAGGAAGTGATGTCAGGGCAAAACTGTCCCAGCGTCCAGGAGAGGGCCGCCACCTCACCGTCACCAAGCCGTGTATTACAGCCTTTACCCCTCAGGAGCCTACGGGACCAGGGACGGGGCCTCCGCCCTTTGCCTTTTGCAAGCCAAGTCCACTGTCGCTACTGAACGTGCGTGAGACTCGCACTGCAAACTCGTAGAGGTAGGATTTCTGAAGGTCTGTGCTTGGTGGGACCCGAAGGGGCATCCTAACAGGGAGCTGAGGAGGGTTCACGGGTGCACCTGTGCCCAGCACATAAATGGGACGTAATCCACATTTCTGACAGAACCAGTGAACTTGAACTTGGTCATTTATTGAGCTCACAATCGCTCAATCCTCTCTGCTCTGCACGGGAGTTTAAGCCGGGAGTGACACTTGCACACAGAGCATCATTTTTAGTGGTCAGCCCAAAAGTGAAGGAAGAGCTTTGCAACAACAAGAGACAGGGGTCATATTTTGGCTGCAAAAAGGCACTGACACGATATAGATGGGCTCTGTGACGGAATAATGGCATCTGCCACTGGCACCATCGGGCTGCTAGCATGCTAGGTCCAGATGGCCTCACAGAACAATGCAACCAGATGCCGGTTTAGAACAACAGATAAAGAGGCCAAGCTTCCCCTGAGGACAGAGCCAATCTTAACACCCAGTTAATGGACGTGTTTCCATCAGATCAAACAGGACAAAAAGAATCAGGCCAGATGAGAGAATGGGGGTTCCAGGGTCCCAAAACCACAGAAAAGTCTAGCACAGTGCCTGGGGTATAGCATTTGTTGACTGACTGCTGATCGCAGTTGGGCCTAGAGGGAGTCAGTGCCAGATGGCCTGCTACCTAATAGAGAAGTCTTTGGGGTTCAGACAGGGGAGGTCCCTCGGAGCCCTGGACAGGGACCAGGGCCTGGGGGAAACGACCCCAAGGCCAGGGGTCCCCACGCTCATAACTAATGAGCAGAGAGGGACCTTACAGCGACATAGAAGTTTACAAAGTTCTTTCATATATTTTCCCCTCGATCCTCACATTAATTCCGTGAAGTAAGGGGAAAAGCCACTGAGAGGTGGCGAGCTTTGGTGAAAGACACACAGCTAGTCACTGGTGGCACCACAGCTGGGATCCGGGCCAGCTGCCTCCAGCTTGCGTGTCTGCCCAGCGGAAGTGACGTCACCCCAAACCTGCCTCACGTTCAGCAATGGGCTTCAGCAATGGGTCTAGCAATTAGTTTGAAGAGCACCGATGTCGGTCCTGGATCTTCCATAAAAAAGATGAAGCACTGGAATTATTTTAGGAAAATGGCCCGCCTCTAGATAAGTTAGGACAAGAGTAATTCTCTATCTTCTGCTTTTGTACTTCCTTTCGTCTTAGTTCCTCCCACTCGGAAAAGTTCCAAATCTCCTGAGGTGAGGGTGGATGTGCCCTGTCCGTACTCAAGGCAGATTCCACAGAGAGATGGGGACCCTTGCAAAGGTTCAGGGTAGTGACTGTGAATCCCAAGAACACCACAGCTGGGGCAGACGGGAAGGACCGCCAGGAAAGTCTGGGAAATCACAGTATGTTGGTCTAAGAAGGGGCCTCAGTGACCGCCATGTTCATTTTCTCATGTTACAAATGGAGTCAAGCTCAATGGGGTAAAGCTATTTCCTCAACCCCCATGACCTGGAAGTGGTGGAGGGCAGACTGGAACCTGCATCTTCTGACTCCTGACTTGTCACACGTACACCACAGTTTACAATCTGGCTGCATAAGCCTGGCCTAGATCGGGGCTTGGTAAACTTGCCCTTCGGGCCAAATCCTGCCAGCTCCGTGTTTTTGTAAATAAAGTTTTATTGGAACACACCCACGCTACTTTGTTTACATACCATTTACGGCTGTTTTCCTGCAGCAACGGCAGAGTGGATTAGTTAAGACCACGCGGCCCCCAGAGCCTAACATGTTTGCTCTTGGGCCCTTTACGGGACAGCTTGCCCGCCCTTGGCCTCGTGCTGTCACCTCGTGCTGTCATCTCCTCACTTACCTGTGCCCACCTCGCTTTCCTTTCCCCACCCCCAGCTCATACCTGACCCCGCTCCACCCACAAGCCCACAACATACATAGAACCTCGATGCGCTGAGAGGCGGATCTGTCAGCCCCCTTTAGAGATTCGTGGTTCACAGAGCATACGATGTCTGCCCCGTCATCGTCCCGGGAAACCTGGAAGGTCACTGAGCTGCTCACGGTGAAGGTTTTTCCGTTGGGATCCTCCTGGACGCGGGTTGGTTCCCCTGGAGTGCAGAACAGACACGCACACGCGCACACACGGGCGCAGAGTGAGCCCTGACGCACAGATACAGTGCGGGCCCCACGGGAGACGTACAGATGGTGAGTCTCAACTTAGACACACTTAGAGAGTTGTGAAATGGTTATGTACACACAGGGAGAACGTAGCCCTAACACACACATACACACACACGAGTGTGCACGGAATATCTGTCCTTCTCCTCCTGCGGATGTGCACACACACAGACACGGAGACACGCACGCCTCTGTTCCTTTCCCGCCCGGCCACCTCCTCCTGAACCCCAAAGCAGGGGGGTCTTACCGTGGAGCTCTTGGTCACCTTTCCTCCAGGTCAGCTGGGCTGCAGGCTTGCTTCCAGAAGACTGACAGTTTAGGGTGGTTGTTTCTTTTTCCCGTAATGATGACTTATAGCCAGAGATTATGGGCTTCTGTGGGATTCCTGCCATGGAGCGGGAGGGGTGGGGGATGGCCAAGATAGGAAGGAGAGGCACCCTCAGGTGACCTCAGCTCTCCCTGCAGAGATGGCCTCTCTGAGGGTCAGGATACCTGGGTCCTGCTTTGGTTTCGAGTGGGTAGAAGACTAGAGAAATCATGTTTGTCTCTGGCCTCCTCCCTAAGGACCAGTAGGGAAGGTGAGATGCGTGACCTGACACTCCACCGCGCGGCTGGGTGGCTAAAGAGCTGGTGGGAAGCTCCAGGGGGGAGAGAAGGAGATAGAAACATAGGACCCGGAGAAGAGCACGTAAGCAGCTGCGGTTACTTGGACATTATAATCACGCGCAGCAAGCACTTCCCCCGTTTCCCTCCTCCGGTCTTGGGAGGCACGTGGAATGGATGTTAGCATCTGCCTGTCGTAGGTTAGGAGATTCAGGCTCAGAGAGGGTAAGGGGTTTCCCCCAGAGCAAACAGTAAGTAGAGGAGAAAGGGCTAGATAGAACCCAGAGCGCTTTGCATTTCCTTCCGTGGCAAAGGAAGCACGGACTGAACTTCTCCCCGATGCTTGGAGACCTGGCCTGGCCCCTGGCTGCCTCAGGGGCTCACCTAGGAGCTGGGTTTGCCAGGCAGCGAGCTGCGGAGCCCCTGGGGTGGGGAGCCTCACCGAGCACGGTGACGAGGGACTTGGCGGTCCTCACGGGCATGGTGAAGATGGAACAGGTGTACTCGCCCTCGTCCGCCAGCGCCACGTTGCTGATGCTGATGCTGAGCTCGTGCGGAGTAGATCTGACCAGCTGGATCCGATTGTCACGGAGGGCTGGGGAAATTGGCAGAAAGGGGGGCGGGGCTTTCACTGGCACCTGTCATGCTCACCTCCCAGTCCCAGGCTAGCGTCTTGGGGAGAAGGGGTCTAGTGTGGTCGAGGGCAGGGGACACGGCTCCAGAGACTGAGCCGCCTTTATGTCCCAGCCACTTTGCTGAGCCGCCGGGGACAGCGGCCTCAGGGACGCTCAGAACAGCAGACTTGGATCTTGTGGGCTTCCTCATCAAGTCCGTGAGGGCAACTCTGACACCAGCTAAATCTTAGGGCTCCTCTGGGGTGTAGGCATGCCGAGACCCTGTAGGACCATGCACGGCTCAGGTCAGAGCTGTGACGCCGAGATTTCTCTGGAGTCAGTTGAAGAGCCCAGTGTGCTTTCCTGGTGCTCAGCCTCTGGACCGCAGGTGCACCTGCCCCAGCCCACAGT